TTGATGCCCTCTGCATCATTCAATAATTTGCCCAGAGAATCTTTCAATAACGAAAGTCGAGGCTTGATTTTTTCCTTTAGTTCCCCAGCTTGAGAAATGCTGACCGTGTTCCTCCCTTTTGGTTATCCAACTCTAAATCATTGCATATTTTATTATAGTATTTAGTTTTATCTTCTCGAGCTGATCTTTTCAACTTGGTGGCTTTCCTGAGAGTGCTGCCTGTTTCCCTCCGTCGGTGCCTGGAGCACAGTAGGTCCCTACCGGGAGCGAAGCTGGCTACTCTGGCTCTTCTGCCCAGGACCGGCCTCTTCATCTTCCCGGGAATACTTCTGAACTGTGTCTCAGTGCATTCCCAGGTCCAAGCCCACCACAGGGAGAAGGACTCCAGTCTAGGCAGCTGGGTAGTGAGGGCGACTGTATCACACAGCCATGAACTCAAAAGAGTTGCCTCATATGCACGTGAAAATTGAACATTGAATAAGGAAGAGCATAGAAGAACCAATGCATATGAATTTGGAAAAAAATATTGAAAGTACTTTGAACTGCCAGAAAAACAAACAGGTCTGTGTTGGAGGAAGTGCAATCAGAATGCTCCTTAAAAGCCAGGATGGTAGGACTTTGTGTCTCATACTTCAGACATGTTATCAGGAGGTACCAGCCTCTGGAAAATACATCATGCTTGGTAAAATGAAGGGTCAGTGGAAAAGAGGAATACTGCCAAGGAGATAGATTGACACAGTGGCAGTAGCAGTGGGTTCAAATGTAACAATAATTGTGGGAATGGTGCAGGACTGGATTCTGTTTCATTCTGTTGTGCATAGGGTGGCTATGAGTTGGAACAGACTCAACATCGCCTAATAACAACATCCTCATAGAATTAAAATGAGGATTAAATGAGAGAATATCTGAAAAGTACTGAGAAATGTATGACACATAATAAGTGCACAATAAATGTTAACATTTATATATTTATTTATTTATTTAAACTAACACCACAATCATGAGACCTCATGAGAGACAGTGGTCTCTACAATTTCTTACTCCTTGGTCAGCTTAGAATTCCTGTAGTTTCTTAAGGTGGTACAACTAATGTTAATCAATCTATAATCTTTTTTTTCTTCAGTCATTATAATCATCATAATCAGATATTGAACTGGTTGTGGTTAAAGTGTCATTGAGTCAGTTCCAACTTATAGGGATTCTGTATAAGGTTTCTGAAAGGAGCTCTGGTAGCGTAGTGGTTACGTTCAAAACTACTAGCTGCTCCGCGGGGGGAAAGATGAAGCTTTCTGCTCCCGTAAAGATTTACAGCCTTGGAAACCCTGTTCAGGGTCGCTGTGGGTTGGAACTGACTCAACAGCACTTAACATAGGTCATAAATACTTAAAAATGCATTAAAGTACCAGGTGCCTGCTTGGCAATTTTATCAGTTGTGTTTAGATGGAAGTACATATGTATGTATATATGCATTTATGTATTTGTATATCTGCCATTGCTTTCTAGTTTTTTGAGAGAGTTGAGGAATCGGGACTGGAATCTGAAGGAATTTTTCGACTTTCAGGATGTACTGCCAAAGTCAAGGTACTGAGCATTTTCTCTCTTCCTAGAGTTGAAGGCTAATTTAACACAATCCATACAAACATCAGGGATCTAGTCAGTTGTTGTTGTTTATTTGAGACTGTCTCTTGATGCTACTTAATATTTTTCAATACACTATGATTAAATGTTTTTCTATGATCCTGAGTTGTATATCCTTTTAAATTAAATTAAAGAACAGTAACACAACAACAAAAACATAACAACATATCAATTCACCACCAACAATTACTATTTGTTCTTAATTTTGAAAAAGTTGAAATGTCCCCTCACTGTTTTTGTTTGCCATTTTCCTCTCGGTCATGCAATTCCCTAAGCCAAAATTATATAAGGCCTGCTTTCCATTATTAGACTTAGAAGCATCCTTTCACTCTTAATGAAAGTCTTTCTGTGAATTTGTAGCAATGGTAATACCGCTAGAATGCTTACTCAGCAATTCTAAAACCCACTCTCATTTAAGGTAGCTCCCACACATCAAATATCTTGTACAAGGCAACTCCTTTTTCTTTGCTTTTCTTCCTTTAGATTATAGTAAACGCTAGAATGCAACAGTGGAAATAATTATTAGAACAGAAAAGCTTTTCTCATCAATTTTTGTCAAAATGTCCCAGTGAGTCTACCAGTGGGCGGGCATACAAAACACATATCTTAGCCCCACCCTCAGATGTTTAAATGATGAATCCCTGAGAAAACCTCTGAGTGAAGGAAAAATTAACCCAGTTGAGTTTAGAACTATTAAAAGGGACTGTGTAGAGGCGGAAAAACATTTGTACATTAATCTATTTTGGTACATGTTTGGGGACATTCTATTTGTATCGGAATTCTCAGAGTTTTTATATATAAATGTGACAAGATGCTTTTCTAAATGGAAACTGAGATGAAATAGACTATGTCAATTGGGTCCTTCAAAAAAGCAGATGTTGAGAGGGAGTTAGGTATAGAAAAGGGTTGGTTGTTCACATATAAGGCTAACAGGGGGAAGAGGCAGGACTGTGCAGGGAGCACCTCAGAGCATGTCGTGAGTCTGGCAGTTCCCGTCCAGGAGCCTTGCTCTGACAAAAGGACCAGGCTTGGCATCTGCACAACACTTGCTGTTGGCATTGGCTGGCCTTTCCCACTGAGAGCCTGGCTCCAGCTCAAATGCAGGTGCTGATGTAGAAGGCACTTCACAGCTAGGATGGCCAACTTTTTGCAGCTTAATGGCAAATTCCTTTGTGAAGGGAGATGTGGGGACTTTGATTCCGAGTTTTCCCAGTGGCTGTAGGAATGGCATATGCTGAGGAGTTGTGATTTCCTGAAAGTGAAAGTTACTCAGTGCTGGCACAAAAAACTTCCTAAAGGCTCCTTAAAGTTTATCGTTTCTAAAATAAATCTACTTTTAGACTCAGTTTCTCATAGGTATGACTCTTTTACATACTTCTGAACAAATGTATCTTAAATCTGAAGAGAACGTCCTCACTGGTTTTGGTAAAATCCTTGGTTATGACTATAGTGTCAGAAAACAAAATGATTTTATGGAAAGTAATTTCCTAAACAGAATCAGACTTCATCCCACTAAACCTCCTTACATAATCAAGAAGCTGTGCCTATACATATTTTTACTGGACTGTGTGTGTGTGTAAAGCATAATTTTTGTTGTTGGTGGTGTGTGCCGTCAAGTCAGTTCCTTTATAGTGTTTCCAAGGGCAGTTGGTGAGCTTGAACCACTGACCTTGTGGTTCAAACCGACTTTGCAGTCCAACGCATTAACCCATATTGCCACATCAGGACTCCATAAAGCATAATAGATACTTAAAATTCTTTTTCTAAAGGAGAGAATAGACAACATTACCTGATAATTTTTGTGTGCATACACTTTAACATCATAATAGAAAAACATTACCTGATAATTTTCATGTACATACACTTTAACATCATAACAGAAGTTATTTTTCACAGGCTAATCTTTGAAAACTGTTTCTCAGAGTGTGAGATGCTGCTTTTATATACGTATGCATTACTGAACCACATTTAGGTGAGGTCTCTTTCCTCACCTAATCAGTTATGTAGTTTCAATGTAGTTATTCCATCACTTGTTTGTCAGGAAAATATAATCCAGATGTTTCCATTGTGTGAGCTCCAGGAAAGCAAATGTGAAAGACTCTGGGATAGTGAACAGAACAGGAAAATGTTGTAATTAGAAAGGAATTATTATAACTTAATATATTAAATAGGTCTTTATTTTTCTTCTTAGTTCAAACTTAATGCTACTTTTTTTTTTGTAATTTATTTTTATAAATTATTTTTTCTAGTAATGTACTTGGGAAATATAGTTTTTAAAAATTTTTAAATTATAATTAGAATCTAATTGTGGGAAGTAAATGGCACTAACCATGTGGCTCCTGAAATGTATAGTTAGGAGCCATCAGATCTGGGTTTGTATTCTACAGACAGACCCAGAATGGCAGGAAAGTCACAAGAAGAACACACACAACTGAGACCACAGCATTTGGAACCAATTTGATACCTTCTTGTTTCCAATTGTTTTCCTTTTTTAAAAGAGAAAATGGCATAAACTTAAACAAGACACTAGGGAAAATATTTTATAGAAGGTAGACTATTTGGCATGTAAAACTTTATACTTTAAATAGTTTCAGTGATTCTAAGTCTGGAAAAAAATGTCTTATAAATGTGCTTTGTTGGTTTCCATTCCTGAACTGATATTTGAAGCTGAAAACTGGTCATTTGCATTTTCATAATAGTACTTCAGTAACAGAAGCAGGCTACATTTTTGCTTTGAGGAGGTGTAAGTATATGGCTCTGGTCCTTGTCTACTGTTCTCATTAACACTGGAAAGAACACAGGGTTTCTTTAACCTCTAAACTCTCCCTATCTTTGGCAAGGTAAATTCAACACCTGGTTTATATGGTTTCATGTTTAGAACCACCACTGAAATGTCAACTCTGCTATGGTCCAAACAAAGACAAAACAGTCTTTCTATCCATTTGTTTTTCACTGACCAACCAGACAAGATGAAGTGGTATCATTACCTAAATATCTACCCATATATACAGCATTAGTACCAAAAGTTAAGACAGAACCAGGAGGAGGAGAGTAGTGAATAGTTGGCATTTATTGAGTGCTTAGTGTTCCATGAGCTTTTCTAGGTCATCTGGTTCATCTCCATGAGATAATTTTACTGTATCTGTGATCCAGCTGAGAAATTTCAGGCACAAGCCATAGGAGTAGCCAGCTGTGGAACTAGGCTGGCAACCCAAAGAGCCTGGCTGCAGAGCCTGCTCTTGGCCCTCTTAGATGGCAGGGAACCACTGGCAGGTTTGAAGGATGGTCTCATTAGTGTTTCAGATAGATTACTTTGGCAGAGGTCTGTGGAAAATTATTTGAATTCATCTGCTCTTGCTCATGCTTCCTGTCCACTGGAAAAACAGTTCCCCTCTGCTTTATGGCAATGGAGAGAAAAGTTTGTTTCTCTCACTGCAATTTCCTACTTGAGTTAACAATACCCCTATCTGCCCGCTACCCCAGGTAGAAATCTAGAATCACGTGAGACCGTTATTTACCCCTTTGAGTCTCATATTCAATTTAATCACTAATTCTTGAGACTTTTACTTCCAAGGCACTTCTTAATTACCGCTTCCTTTTTCTATACAGCAACTGCTTATACACGGTAGCTCTTCATTGTCCATAACTGTGTCCTTTCCATAGCCTGCTCCCCAGCCAATGCTGAGGGTCACACTTTCCCAATCATTGCTTCCATGTGGCTGTCAGAAGAGTTAAATCTAGCCTGGTCATTCCCTTGCATAGAAACGTTTCATGCAACCTCTGTGCCTACAAAATGAGATTCTTCCCTAGTCTCGTCCTCCTTGCCTAGGATACTGTAGCAACACTGAACTAATTGGAGTCCCTGGACACACAGGGTTTTCTTGAATTTGTGTCACTGCTTGAGCAGTTTTTTCGCCCCAAATACCCTCTATTTCTTCTTTCCCTGGTGGGCTCCTCATCAGTCCACAAGACTTGGTCTCAGCAGGATTTGGTTTATCCTCCGCCATGGAAGGAACTCTGCTTCTATAGTGAGTTAGGTGTTGGGCTGCTAACCGCAAGGTCAGCAGTTGGAATCCAAGTCACTCCAGAGGAGAAAAATGAGGCTTCCTGCTTGTATAAAAATTTACTACCTCGGAAACCCTTTATTGGATGGCTATGAATTGAAACTGATTCAGTGGCACACAGCAGCATCAGTGGCATGGACACACGTCACTGTTGGTAAGTGCCGGTTGGTTCCAACTCATAGTGACCCTCTATAAGGTTTCCAAGGAGTGACTGGTGAGTTTGCACAGCTGACCTTGCAGTCTAGAGCATTAACCCACAGCGCCACACCAGGCTTTTACATAGCATTGAATCACCTCATCTGGCTTGTTAAGCTAATGAAATGGCCCCTTTCACTAGTCTGCAGGACTTCTAAAGGCAAAAAATATGTTTCATGCACCTTTTCTTCCCAGAGTTCTTTCAGTTCTGTGAAGTCTCTCACTTCAGAGGGCATTTATGCATGCTTTAAGTGCTTTATAAAGTGAACTGATCAGTAAAGGATTGTTCAATTGTATTGTTCTTGTTAGACTGAAAATTTCTCAAGGACAAGAAGAAAACCTTAACTAGTGTGTCACCAGTAGGAACTGATAGGAATGCTCAGAATCACCTGTGTCCCTTACACATGGGACTTGTCCTACCAGTACCCTCTGTTTAGCAAGCTCTAGGAACCATGAGAACATTTGTGTAATGAACTGAACCTTTGTAAGAAAAGATCAGATCTGAAAATTAACTTGGTTGTGCATGGTCAGACCTAGAAGACTTAGGCTTCTCTTGAGAATATGAGGGAACTTCAAAAGTTTGTGGAAAAATTCCATTATCTTTTCATTCAATTTTCCACAACCTTTTTGACACTCCATTGTAAAGCAGAAGCCTTAGATAAATTGAGTGCTCTCCAAGTTATCTTTCTAATTACCCTTTTGGGGGCAGTTCTTGTCAGTGGAGGAGCTGAATATAACTGCCCAATAGTGTAAGGTAACCATTGGGGAAGAGTAGAAAATGAATTTGACTTTGAAAAATAAATATGGAGAATATGTGGCATTGGTATTCAGATGAATTAATAATGTAAAATTTGTAAGCCAGCTAGAACTTTCAGGTTAAGTGATTTCCCCCACCCCAATAGTTAGGCAATGTTTGAACTTGAGGAAGGTTTGGGCAAGTGTACAAACATTTGGGAGACATGCATGTATATACTCTGCATAAAACTTTGCTGTGATTTCTCGGACGATAGCATTGGTCTACATGTTGTAGTGAGGTCAGAGTTCCTCTGGTGGGATAGTTCTCAACCTACCTGTGAACTGGCTGAGAGACATACATTCTTGATCTAATTTAAAAGGAGGAAGATGAAAGAGCTCGTGAGCAAAGGGAAATGAAGGCTTCATCCAAATCTAGTGGTGTGTTTTTCATGTAAGAATAGATGGTGTCCCGCCAAAGTCAAAGAAAGGAAACTATGATCTGAGTAAAGAGCCCTTTACATTTGTGAGAATTATCAAATTATTCCAAGATTAACATTTTAAAAGTGTTTTAGAAAATTTTCTCAAAGTTCACTTCAAAATCATTGTTTCATGTGTCTTAATATTGTTGAAACAAATTAGAGTCAAGAATTCAGTCATTTATTAAATAGTTTATGATTGATCAGAACTATAATATCTCTAATGCCAAGATGACGGACACTAGGAGTCAGATTCTAAGTTGTCTGACAAATTTGTGATAGTTTTCAAAGGGGGAAAGGTGTCAGGTGGTAAAAACTCATTGAATATTAACTGTTTTCTTTGATTTGCAGCAATACCGTGAAGAGCTGGATGCCAAGTTTAATGCTGATAAATTTAAATGGGACAAAATGTGCCATAGAGAAGCTGCAGTTATGTTGAAAGCATTTTTCAGAGAACTACCCACCTCTCTCTTCCCTGTGGAGTATATACCCGCCTTCATCACCCTGATGGAAAGTAGGTGGAAGAAGTTAAGTGTGAATGAGCACAAGATTTAAGGTCAATAAAGTGACAGAGCAGACTAGAGGTGCATAATCAAATGTGCTCACAATGGTATAGATTTGCTATTTCCTGGCAATGCCTGCTGAAGTATCGTTTGATGATAAAAAGTCACCTCTTCGTATATGCATATATTGAATGAGATTGGTCGTTATGATTTAGAGGGTTTTCTAGCCATTAAAAGGAAGTGGGAGTTTGCAGAAAGACCAGGAACTTGAGATTTGATTTCCTACTCAACCATTTATTAGTCCTGCAGTCAACATTTCTGAGTTTCAATTATTGCACTTGTAAATAATAAGAAATAATTACTTGTCAGGGTTCTTATGAGTATTAAACAAGTCATGTAGAATAGTGCATGTGGTTATTGTTGTTATGTGCCGTGGAGTCGGTTCTGACTTATAGTAACCCAGCACAGGATTTCTGAGGCTGTCAATCCTTACGGGAGCAGAACGCCTCATCTTTCTCCCACAGAACCACTGGTAGTTTCCAACTGCTGACCTTGAGGTTGGCAGCCCGACTCATAACCACTACGCTACTGGAGCTCCTTAGAATAGTGCATAGTGCCTTAACCTATGAGTTGTCTCCCTTTTTTAACTCTGAGGTCCTCAGACTTATGATGCAGCTCCAAATAAATGCCACACAGAAGTTAGTTTGTCTTTGAAAATTATATCATGTAATATTTCTGAAAATTATAATGTCACGAAGAAGTATTGGGGTAAAAATAAAGAAACTGGAAAATGCATGCTGTGTTCGACAGTGAATACTTTGGTATGGTTTGAACATAGTAGATATATATCGGGGATGGTGTAACAAGAGAAAATTTTAAGAAAATCAGAGTGGGGCTAGATTGTGGGGGCTTGTCAGAAGTCACAGCCTAAGCACATACATACATGGAAGAACTGAGTGGTTCTACCAGGACAATTGTGAAGATGGTGCAGGACTAGGCGGGGTTTCGCTCTGTTGTGCATAGGGTTGCTGCAGGTTGAAACCGACTCGATGGCACCTTAAAAGAGTGTGCTCAGTCTCTTCTAAATAGGTCGACCACTGCTCAGCTCTAGGTTAATGGTTTCAAGACAGGATTAAGAGCCAAACTGCAAGCTTCAATGGTAAAACTCTTAATTTGAAGATGTCCAGCACAACTATAAAGCACAGTGTGAGGCTTAACAGGTGATAGCTGCCAGTTTACACCTTCTGCATGTTGATCACAACTATAAACTCATTATAACCACAAGGAAGGAAACTAGTATCAGATCCTAAGTTGTGTGACAAACTTGATACTAAAAAGCAGTAGAAATAATGATAGTTACAGTTGTTGCTTCAAAATGTTTATCTCCTAGTTCCGACACTTAGGTCATCTTATAGTCAATCTCTATTCATTGTCTTTTCCCTCAATAATGAGTTCATGTCACTTTGTACTTAATAGTGTCTTTTAGAGACTCTAGATTCTATAATTTTTCTTCAAAGAGTGTTTCAATGTAGTTTCTGTTTCTTTTTATTTATTTTTTTCTAGTGTTTTGTAATTTTTATGTCATCTCATTCATATATATATGTTGTTGTTGTTAAGTGCCGTTGAGTCGGTTCCAACCCATAGCAACCCTGTATAGGGTTTCTGAGGAGCACCCTGTATAGGGTTTCTGATGAGCTTCAACCACCAACCTTGCAGTTCAAACGAATGTATATATACATATAATTTTAAATTGTGATTTGGGTGAAACTTTCCAGAGCAAATTGATTTTCCATTCAATAATTCCTCCACATTTTGTCTGTGACATTGATGATAATCTCCAGAATGTTATAGTGTTCTTCCCATTTTTTCCCTGTGTTTACTGTTTATTTCCATTCATCCGCCTCTCCTATGCTCTCCTGCCTTCCAAGCTTTGTTGTTGTTGTTAAGTGCCGTGGATTCCAAGCTTTATACCTGGGTAAATGCTGCCTTTGATTTCAAATGGATTGTTCTAAATAGATGTTCCTCACTGGTGTCATTGTTCACTGTATAGGCCTGACTATCATTTGGCTGAAAGTTGAGCCACAAGGGTGAGTACAGTTCCAGGCTTGAAGGGTACTAAGGGCTGTAGTCCCAGGGTTTTCACCACCCTCTATCAGACCACTAAGCCTGGTCTTTCTTGTGATTTAGAGTTTTGTTCCACATTTTCCCTCTTTATCCAGAACCTCCAATTGTGAGCCCTTTGAGATCAATCAATTCAACAATGGTTGCCCATAACCATCTAATTCATAGTTCTCAGGGTCCTGGAAGCTGGGGTTTTAATTAACTAACACATGGTTAATTAGTCCTTTTTCCATGTGTCTTTGATTTGTTCATGCTTCTTAACTTTGGTTTGGAGAGATCAATAGTTGTACCACAGATGGCCGCTTGCTAGCTTTTTTGAGACCTCAGTAACTACTCACCAAAGTGGAATATAGAATGAGGTAAGCTTTGGGTTACTAACCCCAGGTTGGTGATTCACACCTACAGCTGCTCCTCAAGAGAAAGATAAGGCTGCTCTCCTAAAGATTCACAATCTTAGAAACCCTACGGAGCACCTTTATTCTATCTGACTTGATGGCAGTGAGATTTTTTTTATTATTATTATTTTGTTCTGTTTTAATGCCAAATGACCATCTGAATGTCTTCTTTGATGAAATGTTTGTTCATATCCTCTGCCCAATTTCAAGTTGGATTATTTGTCATTTTCTTGTTGAGGTTTTGGAGTTTTCTATAAACCTTAGTGATTAGTCTCTTGCCTTTTATGTCATTGCCAATTTTTATTTTTTCTCTCAATTTGTAAGTTCTTGTTTCACTCTTTTGGTGAAATCTTTTGATGTACATAAGTGTCTAATTTTTAAGAGGTCCCAGTCATCCAGTTTGTCTTCTGTTGTTTGTGTATTCTTAATAATGTTGAATAATGTCATGTTTTAGGGGCCCTGAGTTTGTTTCTGTTTTGTCATTGATGATATGTATAGTTTTAGGTTTAACATTTAGGTCTTCGATCTATCTTAAGTTCATTTTTGTATGTGGTATGAGAGATGAATTCTGTTTCATTTTTCTCCAAATGAATATCTAGTTTGCCAGCACTATCTCTTCCTCATTTAATGAGTTTTGATCCTTTATCAAAGATCAGCTGTCCATAGATGGATGGGTTTACTTCTGGGATCTCAGTTTTGTTCCACTGATCTATGTCTTTCAGTGTACCAGGCTGTTTTGAAAGTTGCCAAACCTCTGACAAATTTAACAAAGGAGAAGATACAAATAACACGAATAAGAAATGTGATAGATGCTGTCAGAACAGAACCCATTTAAATAACTAAAAAGTGTTGCTACAAAACTGTAGAAACCATTATTATATAAATACATCAAAAAATGTTAAACTGTTGTTTCTCAGCATATCCTCTCTGCCAGTCTATCTGCTTTTGAAGGTGGTGTTTCCATTTCTCTAGCCCTTTACTGAAGAATTCTGTATTCTTTGATGCATACCATGTCAAAATGGCAGATTAGGCACTCTCATGGGACACAAATTGTGTTCCTTTTCAGTGCTCTTTGAGTTAGGGGAACAAAGGAAACTCTGAAGAAGCAAGATCAGGGCTGTAGGGTAGGTGAAGTGAGGTTTTCCAAGGAAATTCTTGTAGAACAGTCCTTGCTGTCTCAAAGAATGAGCAAGTGCTTTGTCATGATGAGGAATAAAAAATCCTTGGTGCAATTTTCCTGGTCTTTTTCTTACCAAAGCTGTTTTGAAATTTCTTAAAACTTCTTCCTAATAAGCCCCCATGATTGTCCTGTATCCTTTGAGGAAATCTATCAAAATTGCTCCCCCCCAAAAAAGTCGTCATAAACTTTTTTTTTCTTTAAAATAAATTTTATTATATCTTCTCAGTGTTTAAGATAATATTTGAATACAGATTTTTATTGGTGAAAAAGGAAAGTTAAAGGAAAGGCTCTAAAAACTACAAAAAATGTCTTTCAAACAATCTGTTCTCCAAACCCTCTAATCCAAGTGATGAACCTAGTAATAGTCTAAAGTTACAACTTCTTGCAACAAAGACATTTGACTGTAGACTACCTAATTTTTTCACCCTGCTTAGTTATTAAAATAATAAGGTCTTTTTTTTTTTTTTCTTAAATGTTTTATTGTGAATTATGTGATAATTTACATGG